GGGAAACCTTGTTTGGGGTTGACGGTTTTTGTTTCCTTTTTTCTTGATTCTCAGTCAACTCGGCATCCACAACTCCATTGTCGACTGTTGTGACTCCACAAGTTCGATCTGGGGGTGTTGTTTTGAAAAATGCAGCGAAGCAGAGCAAGGCGATGACAGCGAAGACATCACATCCCCAAGTACAGTCCAGCGCCAAGGTCAACGGGTAAAATAATTATCACATCTCGTTGCTCTTCACTCCTTTCTCCTGGTCTCCTCTCCAGTGCGGTATCACATAGCAGCTCAATTTCATTTTCGACTGCCAAGAAAATTAGGCTGCCTTTAATTCTTCAGAGGTACAAGATACAACTTGGGGAAAACAAACATCGCAAAATTCAGCAGCTCATGCTTTTCATTGAAGGAAAACAAAAAATCCTCCCTTAGCGACATTTCCATATTTTTGAATTTGATCCGCATAACAGAGAAAGTGGTCAGATTCGCGAATTATATACAATATGTGGAAGCGATGTATTCGACCGCATTACTTGTAAAATTAAGTAGGGTATGCGAAAATAGACGAATACCTGTCTTCCATTGTCCTCTCCAAATGGGTTCGATAATGCAATGATGCTCTCTTTGCCAACAAAGCGACAGGTTCCCATTTGATTTTTATCTTGAAAGAATCACAAATTTGTCATAGGAATAAGGTTTTCGTGATACCTCCAAATACCACAACCAGAAAGATCTGCAACCAAATGGGCAAACGTTCATTACAGCAAATATATTTGAAATCCCTCCCCTAGGCAGTAGTCTGCACGATGCACGATAATTTGGCGTACATAAAATATTGTTGAATTCACGCTGTAAGTCATTGGTATGTGACGTAAGCCGAACTCATGCTGTAGGCGCAACTGTTCAGCGAATTTAAAGGAATCTTCCACGGAAAGACTGCTTATCCTTTCCTTGTGTACAGGTGTTGGGCATGGTCATTGAAGACCATATGCAAAGTTCAGAGCGAAAATGATGAAACCCCAAGAGAAACAGCCCTTGGAAAGACCCATCTGTGGGACCGGATTGGACCAGTAGGCGGGACCGGAAGTGCTTCTGTGACGAAGTGCACGTCGTGTCAGTTTATGGGAAGGGCCCAACATGAATCCAGTTCACGTTCACGCTTTTGACACGTTTGCACGTGTTGACTCCACGCCGCTAACAGTTGTGGAGGTTTCACAGCGGGAATTCGAAATTTTCCTAGTTGGAACTGGTTTCAAATAATTTATAGTCGAACTGTATCATAATTATTATCAAAACCATCGCCTATGTTCCGTTCTTTTTGCTATCTTCATGAAGCAAGGGGCCTAAGGTATCGTTTTTTTGTAGGAATGGAGGCGATGTTTTTCCGTGGAAGATTCCTTTAAAGTTCAATTTCCATTACGAAAGTGGTTATTTGTTTGCCCTTGCTTATGAATTTGGAAAAGATGACAGATTTGGAAAGTGGAAGAACTTACGTGCTCTCCACCGTATAGCATAAGCTCGATCTGATCAAGAATGGCATTTGTTTTGTCGAGAATCGCTCCATAAGGGAAACAGCATACACCTGAAAAATAGCATTGGCATTTCTTCTCAGTTCTTGGAATTTCATGGAATCGTAGGATTTAAAGGCACAGTCCGGGATCGAACTGATGTATTATTGCGTTGCAAGTGACTACGTATGCCAGTAATGAAAAAACAGGAAGAAACTGTAGACTAGGATGAAAATAAACCTTCACTCCAGTAGTAGCAAAGCGAAATAGCACTTATTTATGGGGACCCAATGGTGTTCAACAGGACCAATGCTCCATCCTAAGAACCTTAGCACCTCGGCCTTGTCAAATATTCCGAAAGTTGTGTAGGTGCTTTCCGCTTGCATACCGTTGGTCATTTCTTGGGGAAAAGCCTAGTTTTGACCAGCGACCCGGAAATTGCTTCTAAAGGCACCGAGGGATTGGTTTATTGGAACAATCTCTTCTGTAAATAGGATAGGATGGTCCGCAAGCACAGCGACTGCGCCATGCTTATGGTTTGAAAGTGCGCGATAAGGGTGCTACGGCCGGGCCAGTACTGCCAACGGCTGGAGCTGTTTCTATTGCTCGTTTGCGCGAGTGGGTGTCTGCACCCTCTCGTCCGTGGTGATCTCTCGCGTATTCTCTCTCCTCAGCGCACTTTGCCTCTCCCTCGTAGCACAATCGATCTCATAGAAGAGGGCACCCTTAGATTAAGTGCTGTCGATAGCTCCTTCCGCTTTCCATTCTTACTGACAATCCCCTTCGCATCTAAGTTTTCATTTTCTGAGGACAAAATAACCAGTTTTTTTTGTTATCGCGGGATAAACCATCAAGCAATCCCCGTTTATAGTGGATTTACTAACGAGTTTCAAAAACTGCAATACCTTCGTCTAGAACCGCTCTCATAATATCGACGGGGTTCAGAATGTGCACTTGAACGCTGGTGAGAATGCTGGTTGGGAAGTGCAAGCTTGGATCAGCTGGCAATTGTCGTTGCAACTTCATAAGCATTTTATCCGACCTAAACAAGGAAGATTTCAATAAATGGCCTTCTGTAGAACTGATAATCAAACAAACGACCTTTCGAGAAGTCTGTAGTAACCGGCATTCAGCAATTGTCCACAAATCTCATCCCAATGCGGATGAACTCCCCTCAGTCGTCCTAACTGCAATGTTCCCGTATAAACTTCCGACCAATGATTTTTTGTTCAGGTAATGTTCAAAATTGACAATTCAGGTAGTTAGGCAAACATGTGAGAAAGAAAAGATACATATCGATTAGGCGAGTATTCAAGCAGGCGAATTAGATCTATTATGATTGCATACGTATCGACTTGATTAGCTCCGCCCACTGGGCGATCGCCCAATCGCCTAATCGATACGTATCATTTTCTGCTCGCCTGGTCGCTTAATCGCTAGCATCGTCAAGTCTGAACAACACCTTAGCGAACCGAAGGCAAAATAGGAAATGGATCAACTGAAAAATCAAAGCTACCTCTTCATAGGTGAAATAATTGCCAAGTATGAGCTGTAAACAGAGCACAGGAAACTCGGCTGGAGCACCGTTCGCTCGACACACCACTTCCTGCACGTGCACTTGAGCCGGTGAGGCAGATCTTTCCTTCCGACCTTTACCTGAATGAGAATTCCACACAGAGAATTCGAGGTAGCCATATGCAAAATTGTACCCGCTGGCTTATAGACACGTCCCAGGACCAAATTGGCGTGGCTCTTGCAAATAAGGATATATACAGAA